TTGTGATTTGATAAGATTGCGAGGCGAAGGAATTTTTATCTCGAAAACTATTATACATGATAAAATGATTTTATAATTGTTCATACTAATATTGCTACAGTTATTCACTGTGCATGTAACTCAGTTCGGCTATTGTACCGCATTTGCCTGCCGGCATGTTAGTTCGCTTGGAATAGTGGTAACTGAAAGCAGCCCGAACGCATTCTCGATTTAAAATGTATCTGATAACGGATTGGGAATGGGTTCTCAAATACTAAAACACGAAAACAGCGACGGTGTTCAACCAGCAATTGATTTTGAACGTTGCCATTGTGCGCGTGACGTGCAAGATCGTTGAAAAGGAGTTCGTTCTACTAAACTAGCAACGCGCGATTAGACGATCGACAGCCATTTGCTGGTTTAAATTGGTTTAAGTCCCGAGCTACCTTCCTTCGACGATCAACCTGATCGATTAACCGGCTATACCCTTTTTGAAGCTGATAATTACGCTAGATCGAGTCAAGAGGCACCTCCCCGTTCTGTCTGCGTCCATATCGAGGACTACGATTCAAGATTTAAGATAGATTTCCCTCTAATTCATTGCAATAAGAACAACATTTCCAGTTGTTTGATAGATTTTCAGTTCTGCAGTTCATCCAGCGCGAAGAAACTGCACAAAAAACAGGGACGCATCGAGAAAACATGGGCGCAGTCGTGATTGTTAAATGTGGTCCTTATTATATTTCTATTTGCACTTTTTGCTATTCTTATTATTCTATTTATATTTATATTTTATTATTCTGAGTTTAATTCAGAACTACTATCATTATTACTAGACTGTGGATCTTTGTACAAAAGAAACCATTTGTAATGTCTAATTATTACGTACGCTTATAAAAATGACTCAAAGCCTGAAAAAAATCCATTCGGGTAAAAAAAAGCAATCTTGACACTTAATTTAAAAAAAATTGTTCAAACAAATTTGCATGAGAGTTTCATCCGGCAAACTGTTGATCCTTATTCAGGGGCATACCCTGAAGGTGAATATGCAAAAAAATTGAATGGGAAAATACTTTCATACGAATGCGAAGTTTTCGCATTGTCTAACAAACGAATGAACAACTAAATTGATGAATTCTCTTTATAATCAATCATCCTTATGTCATCAGCTCGCGGAAATAAAGTGGATATTCCTATTTCCGAGTCCTGAAAATTTTCGGAAGGTATTTACCTACTTGTTGGCGAACTTTTTCCCAACTCGTTCAAACGGACAGACGCGCTCGATGTGCACGGCTCGAAACTTGCTAGTAATTTTCGAGTTTCCCGAATGAAAGTTCGCCGCGGAAAATATTCCGTGTTCGCAGGGTTATAGCGGAACGTTTGAGAAGTGTCTTTTCAGAACGTAAAGTCAGTTTGATAGTTCCGAACCGGGTATGTACTTTTCTCAATTTTCGCTGCCAATTTTCGTTTCATACTCTATTTATTTTCTGATACCTTCGAATGATAATAAATAGTCGCATCAAATATCACACCTTGGAATGTTATTTGGACGATTGCATTATTTTATGTGTACACATTCTAAATGTAATTGAAGATTTATTATCACAAATAAGAAGTAGTGGAATAGCTTGGGACAGTGATTCTCTACCTGTTTTCGATTGTGTTAATTTCTTTCAGGGGGACAAGACTCGGAAATAGTAATATTTTTTCAATACTCGATCTAATGAATATAAATGAAAGTTAAAACATAGATGTTTTATAAATAAAAAGCATAATAAACAATTCATTCAACAAAAACTGTTGGAGTCATTAATAAATCTGTATTCATTTTATCCTTACTTTGTAATAAAAAACATGTAAATGCCAGATTGAACATTAAAAAAACAGGGCATAGAATTTTTAATTTCTTCTGGTTTGGTCTCCCTAGGAAATATTGACAAAATAAAAATCGAATTGAGAATTATTGTCCCAAGCTATATAATGTAATAGTTTAACCCTTTAAGTATAGAATACTAATATTATTTTTTATTTTTGTTTGTACCACAGACCTTGGAAATAATGCAAAGGGAATTTCGGTTTCTTACGCCTAGAGTCTAGATAATCTAGATCATTGTTACATACATACACATATATCATTCTTAATCTTACAGTTGACATAATGATTTATTTATTATTAATGTTATAAGCTTATACAATTGAAGCACTCAGAGCAACAAAGAATACATTTTTTAGTTACTTCGATGCAACAATTTGGTCATAATGAAATAATCCAATACAAGAATTTTGTCATTTCTTGTTGTTTGTGTGTAGTTATAATTCTCACCTTCTTTTGTTTCGCTCCTAAAAATATGGTCACTGTATCTTAAAAACGAAAGATCCTGTTTTCAACATTGCTGGGAGGTTTAAAACAGCTATCTATCTAGGAATGGGGAAAGGAGCTCGTTTACACGAAGTGCTTCTCCGTACCGAGGGGTAATAAGGATACGGCTCGAAGGAGGAAGTTGAATAAAATATTGGGTCCGGTGAAAGTTTGTTAGGCTATCGAGCCAGAGAGGAGTGGTCGACCCATTTTTGTTCGCTTTTTCCTAACCGAACCTAACACGTAAGCGTTTCATATACGAACGTTTTATTGCCCGCGGAGATAGGTACACAGTTCGAAGTCGAGCCCGGTTACGAGTTGTCTTGCGTCAGTACCTGCGATAACTGCTAACACGTATATTTCATCGCGAAACACGCTCGAGTGAAATTGAAGGGTTTTTTTTTCATTTGCGTGGATGTTTATTTGATTAAAAATAAAATGCTGGTCGTTTCCGTTTTAATTTTAATTTGGTTCGCCCGCGTACCGTTGGATATATTTCATCTGAAGTTCCCAGGCTACGAGCGCCGATGATTAAAGCCGCGGCTAACGCGTTAAAAATGAAAACTGTTTCTCGAGAATTAATGCGTGCTTTCCCGTTCCGTATACCTGTGCGGCACACATTCGCGTCCCATTCCAGCAAGAAATGATACTCGGGGGAGGGGCAAAAAATGTATTGAAAGGATCGCTGCTAGATTGTACAGTATACGCAGTGATATTGCAGAGAGTCAACAACAATTTTCATTTCCCTACCCGAGCTGATAAAAAAGTTGTGCAGCCCCAATTTACATCCAGCATTAGTATTACATTTTATGGCGGATAACGTTATATTCGCTACTCATGAGATGTTAAGTGCACTTGAGGAATATTTTTCACATATGAAATTCAGGAATGAAATTGTAATTAACGCATACATTTCTATGTTATTCAATTAGTTGATTACCCGATCTTCCTATTCGAACCTCGTAATCATTTATGTATAAATATTGTATTTCAATTACGAACAATTAACCATCCAGCTGAACTTTAGCCCTAAATAAAATTAGAGATATTATTATTTCGACACCTGTTTGTACACTATTTGTCTCATTTCCAGATGCAAAACAAACATGGGCAGTGTCAGAATAACAATGTTACTAAAAAAATTAGCCAAAACTTTCCTTATGAATTATTAACATATCGAATGACTAAATAAATAAATGAATTGACGATATTTTTGTATGTTTGCAGACGTGGCCAGCTCGAGGACGGACACCACCTCGACGGTTCGGTCGCGCAGCCGGGGAGACGCTGGATTTCACCGGGAAGAACCGCTGACGATGAGCTAGCGACGCGACGATGAGGAGGATGAAGCAGCGCGTGCTGCTCGCGTGGCCATGGCTGTGGCTGTGGCTGTTCGCTGCCACGGCGGGTTCCCCGTCTTCCTCGGACACATACGCCACATCGTCCTCCAGCTACGGTGGCAGTAGCTCGGTGACCAGATCGTTCTCACCCTTGTCCACGTCCGCGTCGTTCACCGAGCCGGATTTGCCGAGCGATTACGAATTTCGGTTCACTCGGCCGACGTACAACGCGTCCATCCCGGAGAACTCGATCGGGAAAACTTACGTGCTCCCCGAGGAGAGGATGGGCATCAAACTCGCGTCGGCTGAAACCAGCGACCTCGACGTTCGTTTCCGCATAACGAATCGCGACAAGTTCTTCAAAGCCGAAGAACGCACCGTCGGTGATTTCTGTTTCCTGTTGATTCGGACTCGTACCGGTATCATGGACGTGTTGAACCGCGAGCGGAAGGACCGTTACGTGCTCGAGGTGCACGCGAATCTGACCAGGGGCGACGGAAGGAATCGCGTGACTGTGCGCGAGGCGCACACCACGGTCGCTGTGACGATACTCGATACGAACGATTTGAACCCGTTGTTCTTCCCGACCGAGTACGAAGCGACCGTCACGGAGGACACGCCCTTGCACAAGAGCATACTCAGGGTAATCGCCGAGGATGCCGATCTCGGCAGGAACGGTGAGATTTATTACAGCCTCGCCGAGGAGACCGATCAATTCGCAGTTCACCCGGTCAGCGGGGTGATCACTCTCACCAGGCCGCTCAGATATTCGGAACGAGCGGTACACGAGCTGGTGGTGTTGGCCAAGGACCGCGGAGCCCTCTTCCGCAGCAGTGTCAACAGCCGAGCCAGCACGGCTAAGGTAACGATCAAAGTACGTCAAGTGAATTTGTACTCTCCCGAGATCTACGTCCACCACTTGCCGGACATAGTGGAGCACTCGAACGCGGACATCTACGCGATCGTCAGAGTGGTGGACAACGACGAAGGTATCCACGGGCAAATCGCGAGCCTGGACATCGTGGGTGGTGACCCGGCGGGCCACTTCAGAGTGCGATCAGCCGGTGGTCCGCACTCCGGGGAGTATAATATAGAAGTGCTGCACTTGCTAGACCGGGAGACAGCAGTCCAGGGTTACAATCTGACGCTGCGGGCAATGGACCGCGGCGTACCGCAGCGTTTCAGCTACAAATTCGTGCCCGTCCATCTCGCCGACTTGAACGACAACGCGCCGGTGTTCAGTCGCGAGATCTACGAGGTGAAAGTCCCGGAAACCGCGCCTATCAATACTCCGGTTATCAGGCTGAAGGTCACCGACGCGGACGAGGGTAAGAACGCTTTGGTGTTCCTAGAAATAGTCGGTGGCAACGAGGGTGGCGAGTTTTACGTGAACGCCGAGACGGGAATGTTGTACACCGCGGTGAACTTGGACGCTGAGAAGAAAGGTTTTTACACGTTGACGGTGTCCGCGGTGGACCAAGGAAACGCCGGGACTAGGAAACAGTCCTCGGCTAAAGTGAAGATTTACGTGGTCGACACTAACGACAACGATCCGACGTTCGAGCAATCGGAGATGGAAGTCTGGATCGATGAGAACGAACCAGTGGGCACGTCCGTTGTGAAGATCACCGCGAAGGACCGTGATTCCGGGGAGAACGCGTACATCTCCTATAGCATCGATAATATCCAGAAGGTGCCCTTCGAGATCGACCACTTCTCCGGCATCGTGAGGACCAAGCAAGTATTGGATTACGAGACCATGAAGAGGAGGTATCTGCTCCACGTGCGAGTCAGCGACTGGGGCTTGCCTTATCGCAGGCAGGCGGAGATGCAGCTACACGTGAACGTGCGCGACGTGAACGATAACCGGCCGCAGTTCGAGAGGGTCGATTGCATCGGGCACGTGCCGCGTTACGTACCCATCGGCTCCGAAATCATCACGGTTTCGGCCATTGACTTCGACGACGGGAACATCATCAGCTATCGCATTGTATCCGGGAACGAGGACGGCTGCTTCGTACTGGATTCGAGCAGCGGAGTATTATCTGTTTCTTGCGATTTGTCCGACGTGAAGGTCAGCGAAAGAGTGGTGAACGTCACCGCGACGGATGGCACTCACTTCGCAGACGTGAACCCTATACACATGCATCTGGTAAATGCGAAACGGAACCTGGGTTCGCAAACGAGGATCCTGTCGGATCAGAGCGGAGCGTTCGAGTGTCGAGATACCGGAGTGGCTAGACGGTCTACCGAGACGATTGCCGCGGCAGAGGAGAACAACAAACCTTCCAAGGACGACGAGTACACTCTGACGCCCAGTCGGTACGGCGAGAACATTCACGCGCCGGAATTCGTCGATTTCCCAAGCGAGATCAAAGCTAACGAGTCGATGAAAATCGGGACGACTTTAGTGAGGATTCGCGCCAGGGACAGAGACTTGGATTACAACGGGAAATTGGTATTCGTGATTTCTAGCGGGGACAGGGATTCGGTGTTCAGTATCGACCCTGATACGGGTGACTTAAACGTGATCGGTTATCTGGACCGCGAACGGGAGAGTGAATATTTTTTAAATATAAGCGTCTACGACCTGGGCAAGCCGCAGAAGTCCGCGTCGAGGATGCTTCCGGTTACTATCCTCGACGTGAACGACAACGCGCCTAAATTCGAGAAATCTTTGGCCAGCTTTCGAATATCGGAGACCGCGTTGAACGGGACCAACGTGTGGCGCGCGAACGCGACCGATGCGGATCTCGGCGAGAACGCGCGAGTTACTTATTCGCTGGTGACCGAGACGAACGACTTCCGGGTAGACCCGGTGACCGGCGTGCTCAGCGTCTTCGGCAGGCTAGACAGAGAACGTCAAGAGATTTACGAGTTGAGAATCAGAGCGCAGGATAACGGCGGCAAGGGTACCGACACGCCGCCATTATTTTCCGACGCGTTGGTCAGAGTGACGGTCGACGATGTCAACGATAACGCGCCTACTTTTGCTCTCTCTAGTTACACGGTGAAGGTTAGAGAAGACGTCCCGATAGGGACGGTCGTTGCGGTCGTAGATGCGACCGATCCGGACGAGGGCGCTGGTGGCGCCATCGAGTACTTTCTGTCCGACGCCACGGAGAGCGAGGGATTCTTTAAGGTTGACAAGGTGTCCGGGACAATTAGGACCACCCAGAGCTTAGATTTTGAGGAACGACAAGTGCACACTTTAAGCATAGTGGCCAAGGACAGGGGAGAGCCGTCGTTGAGCTCCGAGACGATGGTCATCATCGAAGTGATCGACGTAAACGAGAATCTTCACGCGCCGGTGTTCGACGACTTCGTAGTGTCCGCGAGTGTTTACGAGAATCAGCCGGTCGGGACTTTGGTGACGACAGTGCGTGCCAAGGATGCGGATCCAGTTGGCGGTGATTCGAAGATTGGATACACCATTCGCGACGGGGACGGCATCGGGATCTTCTCCATCGACGATGAAGGTTAGTTTTGGTTTTAAGTTCCTCTTATTTTTGACAAGGTTTGGAATCATCCCTTGAGTAATATCGCGTTTTACAAATCGAACAATTACAATATTTGAAACAGAGTATGAAATATGGGCATTTTATCTCTATTATGTATTGTTTTACTGACTGCAATGACTTTTACAATTAGTAGCGGGAATGGAAAAATCATATTTATTCTGTAGGACTTTCTCAGATTTATCAAAGTAATACTGCATTGCTTTTCAACTGTAGTACAAATACATATAATAGGATTAATTCGAAATGAGCAACTGGAATATTATCGAATGATTGAAGTTTGGATTTTAATTTTTGTTATTATTACAACGTTGACTCTCAGCGAATTCCATAAATAAATGTAAAATAAAGACTAACGTTAAATATGAAAATGTAATATTAAACCATAGTCTTGGTTCCTACATGCATCAAATCCACAGTTCTTCGCTAAATTTTTCAAAACACTAATATTGGGCTTGTATCGTTTATACAAAATATTGAATTTCAATAGCTAGTTCACACGCAGCTTATCTTTCACCACTGTTTTGCTGTACGCAAACTTGAAAGTTGCTAAACGCGGAAGATAAAGGTGGAATATTAACGTGGCATTAACGTGGTTGCGACAATATTTAACTTTTTCATCGGATTACCCTTAATCCGGGACGGAATAATGGAAATTTATCGACGTTGTGCGAAGTTGGCTGGACAGTTTCCCAGAACCATGTAAACTCGTAAATTAACCTGTAGTCAATTAAAACTCGTACCTCTACGATTGTTCATCCGTGAAACAGGTGAGAATAAGAATGATTCAATACATTATGCATCACAATATAATAAATGCATATATAATAAATCCATTTTCTTTATCATAAGACGATTCAGAAAGAGTTAATCTTAAACCTTTTTCTCTCAATTATTTTATATCATATTCTTTTTTGTCATGTCTGTTTGTTCCTTAATGAAGTTGAAAATATGAAAGATTTCGTTTTTAATAATGTCCTGTTTATCAATTAGACTTTTATATATCTTGCTAATTATTTTAAAATTCGATGGAGACATATTTTTCCAGAGATAATTTTCCCTCTGTGTCTTATTATTTCTGCTGCATTTCTCTACTATCATTTCTGTAGACGATTATAAAATTCCTTCGATTCTTGTCGTTTCCTACGCATTATTATAACTAATATTATAATAAACTTTCAATTAACATTTATTTGACTAAAGCCTATCTCACGAAGTTTCATTAATGAGTATTAGATTAAAAAAGTTGAAGTACAGAAAAAGCTCATTTTAAGATATGTAGGTGGTTTTTGACACCTGTCGTTTGCACATCGAGTCTTTTAACTTCGTTGGCCTTCTCGGGACCGATTTAAATTCATTTCTATTACGCGTCTTCGGAATTTCACAGCGTCGCAAAAAAACGATCGATAACGCTGCTCGAACGCGGAAATGTTTCCTCGAGTTTTCGCGTGCCTTTTAGGCTCGAACTTTCGCACAATGCCGCGAAATCGTTTACCCCCGAAGGTTCAACTTCCGCTCGGAATCCGACAGTTTCGCGGTTGCGGAGAGAACTCTCTGGAAAGAAGTTTGGCTGGTGTTTCTTTGTCCTTGATGATTCAGTATTAATACAGTAGTATCGATCTTATTTATCACGTGGCAAAATTAATCGACAATTTCATTCAGAACTTCATTTCAATATAATAATTCATGATTTTTTATATTTCATGTTATATTCCGCTTAGTAATTCCGTATTAATACAATAGTATCAATCTTATTTATCATATGCAAAAATTAATTAAAAATTTAACTCTTGATTTGATTTGTAATTAACTGTCACCTGTTTTTCATGATTAAAATTGTAATTAAAATTTAATTCATTTACATCAGTTCTCTTGAAGGTAAAAAATAAATGATCTCACCTAACAAATAATGTAAGAAAAAAATGAAAAAAGCGATATGCTGCAATATTGTTTTGAAACACTTTACCGCAGATTCAGGGAAAAGTTAATTCTGCTAATTCGCAACAGGTCAAGAAGGAACGGTCGTTGACAAATCGGTGGACGCGAAACTCAGTCTCCTTCCACCTTTGGACGTTCGGCCCGGGTCTCCGGAAACGGAATAACGGTTAACAATGGCTCGAAATCCCGAGCAATCGTTCCAATTTATTTTTCAGAACTCGTGCTACGTCCACGAAACGTGTCTCTTTTCCCGCTTTGATTGCTTCCCTCTTTTCCTTCCTTGTTTGCCATCGATCGAACCGAAGGAAAAAATACAGGCGTGGCAGTAGTCCAAACCGGTGTTACACCGTCGCAGGCCATTAAATACCGACGTAGCTGTTTTAATTGAATTATGACACTCACGAGTCCTCTTTTCATCCGGAACATCGTCCGCCTCGTGTTCTCTGAATAACTCAAGACGCTTAATGCTGCATTTTCTTCTATAAAGTTAGGTCAAGTTATTTTATGAAGAGTCATTTGTATTTCATTAGCATTAACGTTCTGTTTTTCTGTTCGTTTTTTTTGTCGTACTCAAGAAAATTCAAATCTCCACTGCCAGCTGGAACGAGGAATCAATTAATGAATAATAATGTTTATATCAGAGCATCGGGCCAAGGGAAAGGACTTGATTTACAAGTTGCTTACATTACGAAGTTATGGTTGATTCATTCCCTTAGTTGATTTATTTTCTAACATATTTGTTGAAACAAACTTGGATCTGCTGCAGGAAACGAATTAATTATAAAACATAAACGAAAAGTTTTGATCGTGCTTGGAAAACTTGGCCTCCGTTCTTTCTGAGAGCGAAAGGCTAATCCGAGAGCCGTCGGCGTCGTCGCATCTCCTTATTTTTCATTTACAGCTTAAACAAGCTATTTCCCTCGAGCGAGAGACCTGGGGCCGGATTATGCGACCTGTCTCGGAATATCTTCCTAAAATCTCATCGTGTCAACTTCGTCCTTTGCTCTTCTTAAAGAAAATTTTATTCAATTAATTTAAACGATGCTATCGCAAGTCAATGGAGGATTTATCACGTTTTTAGTATCATTATTTAGTTTAATATATGGGCTGTGTCAATGGGAAATACCTATGATACTTTGTTTTACAATTTTATTACAATTAATTGTGGAGGAATTTATTAGATGATCATTAAATAAATTTATTCTAGTCTTCTGACAAATTAATATTAGTTGTATATAATACAATATTATATAATAATACAATATTAAGTGTACTTCTGTTTTCGTAATTAAATCAATGATCAGTGGATTTTAAGGGATGTTTCTTACTGGCTCATTTTGTACAGAAGGTATAGAGTATTTGAAAGGGTTTGTATCAAATCATCGTCAATCATCTCACCGATACTGCTTTCTTTTTTCTTTGGGGCTTATGTATATGTTATAATTTTGATAATTATATTATTTTGAAGAATTGCAGTTCAAATTGTGTCCGTGAAGAAATCTAGCGAAGATAACACGTTGAAATATACTTCGCGCTAGTAGCTAGCAACGATCTATGATCGATAGATCCGTCAAGGCAGCGAACGCGAAGGTAGTACGCACCGGGCAAAAGTTATGAATATTTACTAGCTGATTGAATATGCATTCCGCTGTCAACGTATTATTTTTGCTCGAAGGGGATCGATACACAGCCACCCATTCCATCGAATTCTTACCCGATTTCCAACCGGCACAGCCGTTTACTTGACGAATTTTCAAACCCGATTCACTGAACACAAAATTGGAATTTGGAAATTTCATTCTTTTTTTTGTTATTAAAATTCTTTTATAATTATGTTCTGTATGAATGTTATCTACGTACATGAACACGATTTTGTTTCTACACATGCATACAAAATGTATACTTGCTGGGATTACCTCAAATCGTTCTCAGTGATTCACATTAATATTCATACTCATTTTAACACTAGATCTGCCAAGCGAGGTCAAAGTGACTTGTTCAGCATTTTTTATAGTCATTATTCAGTTTCAGTTCATTTTGTTTTTTAATGAATTTTGTATGACCTTTTTTAAAATATGCAAATAACTAATTCTGCAAAACAGTTTTCTTTTTTCTTTGGCTTTTTGATGTAAAATTTTATGAAGTATGCCTCCATATACAGAGATGAATCATTTTGACTCCCACGGAACGTAAGTTAAAAGCGTAAGTGTTTTAAAAAGTATTGTTATTAAATTATTATTATTATCATTAACAGTTTATTATTCAATTTTCACTCATATAAACGTAAAAATTGCTGTTTTTTCTTATGACTTATTAATTTGAAAAAGTGTCATTTTGACCCCTCCGGTAGAAGTAGGAATACGTCAATTGTCAGTATAGTTCTAGTGTAAAAACTTAGTAACCTTTTCAGTCTGGAACCGAACAACTTAATACACTTTGGATTGTTAGGAGGCTTAATTTACTATGCAATGTGTAACAAGAAATAGACAGAAATTGCTATTCGTCGAATAAAAAAAGTAGAGGACATGGTTCTTAACTTTTTTTATTACGGTCTTCAATAAAAACTTGAAACATGCTTTTTATAGATCGGTACAAAATTACCGCGAACCTTTCCGCGAACTGGAGCTTAGTCCGACGCTGGCTAGGTTCGTCGACAATTTCGCGTACACGGAAGATTACATCGTTACTACATGCTCGTTAGCGTTCGCGTTCGCTCGCCGGTCGATTTCGAGGGAACGTCGCAGCCGACGATGGACTGAATTTCCCGTGACGCGGTTTACCCGGTCCGCCACCGTCGAGGAAAATGCAGTTAAACTCCAATCGCCGTAGAAAACTGGCCGGCGCCTAATTCGCGACTGCCGTTTCCTAACCCAACGTGTTATCTCTTTCATCCTCGGAGGATTAATAAAAGCGCGGCGGAATTGTAAAAATAATTAGACTGCGGCTTTTCATGCAGAATGAAACTTATGTAACGGCGATTTAAAAAGTTCTTCTCATATTTTGCACGTACAATTGTTCTATAAATGCG